GCCACCACGGCTGGCTACTTTTTGTATTTTTAGTAGAGATGGGGTTTCAACAGGTTGGCCAGGCTGGTTCATCATGCTTTAAATACATCTACACATATTCCAGTAACCATGAATTATGGTTAGTCAATAACCGCATGTCAACGCTTTCTAATGACTCCTTTGTAGGATAACTAAAAAGTTAATCATTCCCAGGTTTCATCTCACCATCCCTTCAAAGTCTTCTTACTTCCATCTCATCTACCGTGAATGTCCTCAGCCTGCCATCACTGCTGGCCAATGCCCTGAGTAGTTCAACAATACTTTTTATTGTTGTTGTTTGAGACAGGGTCTTACTCTATCACCCAGGCTGGAGTGCAGTAGCGTGATCACAGGTCACTGCAGCCTCGACTTCTGAGGCTCAGGCAATCCTCCCACCTCAGCCTCCTGAGTAGCTGGGACTACAAGCATGCACCACCATGCCTGGCTAATTTTTAAAATATTTATTTTATTTTATTTGAGATGGAGTCTCATTCTGTCACCTAGGCTGGAGTGCAGTGGTGCAATCTCGGCTCACTGCAACCTCTGCCTCTCGGGTTCAAGCAATTCTCCTGCCTCTGTCTCCCAAGTAACTGGGATTACAGGCACGCACCAACACGCCAGGCTAATTTTTGTATTTTCAGTAGAGACGGCGTTTCACCACGTTGGTCAGGCTAGTCTCGAACTCCTGACCTCGTGATCAGCCTGCCTTGGCCTCCTAAAGTGTTGGGATTACAGGCGTGAGCCACCACGCCTGGGCTTAAAATATTTATTAGAGATGAGGTCTCGCTTTGTTGCCCAGGCTGGTTAGCAACACTTTTTAGAATCCTCCTTTCCACGAGCAGTTTTACAGCCTTAGACTAAATGCCAGTGTCCTAACTATGGGCTGCAATAGAACCTTAGATATGTTCAGTGTCACTGCTGGTATTACAGTTCTAAGTTTGAATGTTATATTGTAAGATGGGAATAATGAAACTGTTGTTAGTTATAGCAAAAATTGTTTGAGTTTATTATATTCTCCATTTCTAAGTGAGCAGTATTTGGAGTAAGATAAGCTGAATTTTGTGAACATCAAGTAAAGATTTTTTATTTATCCTTTAGGCAGAGAGCACAATTTTAACACCTATAGTGACAGCGTATCAGATTCCCTGAACGTTCCCTATGATTACACTTCAGTAATGCACTACAGTAAAACTGCATTCCAAAACGGAACAGAGCCGACAATTGTCACAAGAATCTCAGACTTCGAGGATGTGATCGGCCAACGAATGGATTTCAGTGACTCTGATCTCCTAAAGTTGAATCGACTGTATAACTGCTGTATGTGACAGGTTCTTTGAAATGACTTGTATTTCCCTCTGTTATGTAGGAAAAAATGATGGTCTGTGCCATTTCGTCGAGCACCGGTGGGGTTTCTGAGATTATGGAGACTTGATATTCAGGAAGTGAATAGAATAGTACTCAGATCTCAATCTACACCTTGGAAGCAGCATTTTTCTTTTCACCACGTCTGGTGTTGAGATCTAAAAACAAATTGGGTCCTGTAGGAATATGCCTCAGGCAGGTTTTTAAAGCTGTTACTAATTCAAACATGGGTAAGACTGATACTCACACTTCCTTTTAGCTAGAATGATATGTCTAGTTGTAATATGAATGGGATCAAATAAACTGGATTGTGGCTTAATGATTCGAATAACTAGGGGAGTGTAGACTCAGATTTCTACAAATTAGATAATTTTTTAAAAAAAGATGGGGCAGGGAGCTTATTCAGATGTGCAGAATTCATTACCTTCTTTGTAGGGGTTCTGCAAATAAAGAGGGATCTTTGAGCCACCATCACCCAGAATCAGCCAGGTGTTCCCTGTAATACCAACCTGGCATTTCTAATACTGTGATAAGTTCAGTTTTTGTTACTTAGATTATCATGTTGTATGAGTGTCAATAATTGTCTTTTTGCTTTTGTAGCCTCTTCCTTGAGTTTTATGGACTCGTGCAGTTTTGAACTGGAAAATGTGTGTGGCATGATCCAAAGTTCAGGAGATAATGCTGACTGGCAACGGGTTTCACAGGTTCCCAGGGGGCCAGAGAATGATCACTCCAACATGGGCCAGTGCCAAGGTAACAGGAGTGAGATACTCCTAGATTGTATACTCAGTGGCTACAGCCACGTTCTTCTCTATGAAAGACTGGGATTTTATCTCTAATTTCTATCAGAATAATTAATGATTATTCATTAGGTGACTACTGAGAAGTAGGTCTTGCACCTGATAAAGACATTGTTAATTGCTTTTCCTTCTGTGTTTATTTTTCTTTCTACAAGTCAGAGCTGGGCTCTGTGATGCCTCTACCAGTGCGTTCCCATAGGAGAGCATACCAGAGTGGGCCTCCTGCAAGGCCTTTTATCTCAGGGGCAGTACTACTGTTTTCTAGAAGTTTGCAGAATACAAGAGACTCTTCCCAATGGACAGCACTAGGCTGTGAATTATTGTTTCAGAACTGTAGCTGGATGTGATTATATGCTCCTGTTACAAAAATATCTAAAAAGCACCATTTATTTAATTTTCTTCAGATGCATATCCTTTTCCATTTTCATTTTGTTTTGCCTTAAGTAGCTATTTGGCTACAAGGACCACATTTTTACTTATTTGCTTATTCTGGCAACAAATATGTAAAACTAGACTTCAGAACTTAGGGCCAGTGCTTAATAATAATAGCTCAGATGATCTAGGCAGGAATTGGAGGCCTTCAATGGCAAAAAGGTGCTTTTCCTTTTATTTTTCTTTTTAAATGCATATTTGGATAGCAGATAGTGGTCCTCCTCAGACCAGAGGAAAGTAGATAGGGAGGGAGGGAGGAAAGGAAGAAGAATCCAGACCAGGCAGCTCTCACTTTTTTCTGTTTTTGAAAGCTAATTTCTGTAGTAAGGGAAAGGTTCCCTAACGTTGTGTCTTTCAGAAATTGCCTGCTCCTAGAACCATATTTAAATGCCCAACACAATTCCCTGCATATAGTGGAAACTAAGCAAATACTTGAAATAAGGTAAAGAAAATTGGGCCGGATACAGTGGCTCATGCCTGTAATCTCAGGCCTTTGGGAGGCCAAGGTGGGTGGATCACCTGAGGTTGGGAGTTTGAGACCAGCTGGGCCAACATGGTAAGACCCCATCTCTACTAAATATGCAAAAATTAGCTGGGTGTGGTGGCGCATGCCTGTAGTCCCAGCTAGTTGCAGGACTGAGGCAGGAGAATCACTTGAACCCGGGAGGCAGAGGTTGTAGTGAGCTGAGATAGTACCATTGCATTCTAGCCTGGACAACGGAGTAAGACATTGCCTCAAAAAAAAAAAAAAAAAAAAAAAGGAAACAAAATATATATACATTCAAACCAGAATCACTAGCTCTGCCTTCTTTAGAGATGGCTTGGAAGATTAAGTATTGCAGATAATGAAAGCAGAGAACTGGGAGGTGCCTCTGAAATTATCAGGTTCAGTTATTCTCTATTTTTTCATTACAAATATCGTTTAAAAAATATTAAAATGTGAATCTCCCCAGATGGTTGCTGTAGTTACAGTATCTTCTGAGAGTTGAATTTCTTTCTTTCTTTTCTTTTTTTCTTCCTTCTTTTTTGGTGACAGTTTGAAGCCAAAGAAGTTAGAAAGTGTTTTTTAAAAAAAGGGGGCAGCCAAGGCCCTGGTTTCCTGGCTGGGCTCTCGCTCCTGTCCGCATTGTGTGTTCACCTCTCCAGAAAGACCTAGAAGTTGACGCTGAATTAGCCTTGGGAAACACAGATGCTACAACTCTCTACCCACCCAAGTTTCAAACCCTCTTTTTGACTTAATTTCCATTTTCCTTTTTCATATTCTTAGAGGGGAACAACCCTCTGTAGCATCTTTTTCCAGTGGTAGCTCTTCCCACTTGGAGCTGGACCAGGGTTGCAGACACTTGAAAGGTGTCCTGTGTAGACTCTACCTTTTAGCCCTGCTGTTTGGTCTTGACCTGCAGCCTTACAGTGGATTTTTAAAAAATTAGCATTTGATACTTAAACTTGCTGTATCTTTATAGCTCATAACAAACGAAGATAAGCAAGGATTAGTGCCCACGGAAAACTACTATTGTAAGTAAACGTCTTATAAATAATAGAGAAGTTTGAGTTTTATACTGTTATGTCAATCTGCTAGCTTTTGCAAGTGCCAGATACGTAGCTTAGGCTTCTGTCGTTTCTCCCTGGCGATTTACATATGGATGTTACTTACGCCTCGTGTAAAGAATCTAGCACCACTATTAACAAACACACATTTCCATACCCAGTATCTGTTTTCTCTCAATTCTGCTTTTCCTTAACAGGTTCTGGTTTCTTCATGCATTTTGATAGCAGCTCTGTAAATGTGGGGGCCACAGCAGTGCTGGAAAGTAGAACGCTGTACCCTAAAAGAGGATTTCAGTGCTTGCAATTTTACTTATATAACAGTGGCAGTGAAAGTGATCAACTGAACATCTACATCAGGGAGTATTCTACAGACAATGTGGATGGCAATTTAACTCTTGTGGAAGAAATAAAAGGTACAATGTCAACATTCTTATTGTTTGGATTCAAAGTGAGGCAATCTTAGGTCTTTTCTTTAGTTAATGCAACAATTTACAATAGGACAGGGGCTACTGAGTCACTACCCTTCAACTAAGAACTAGATTCTTCTTGTTTTAAGTGGTGGCAAGGAAGCTAGAATGAAGACTCTTTCTGAGTGCTCTGTTATGTGACACTCACTTAAGAAACTGTAGATCAGTCTCTGGCACTATGGAGATCAGTTCTTGGCAAATAATAAAAATACAAAGCCGGGTGCAGTGGCTCACAGCTGTAATTCCAGCACTTTGGGAGGCCAAGGCAGTCGGATCACCTGAGGTCATGAGTTCGAGACCAGACTGGTCAATATATAGTGAAACCTTGTCTCTACTGAAAAAATACATAAATTAGCTGGGAGTGGTGGCACACGCCTGTAGTCCCAGCTACTTGGGAAGCTGAGGAAGGAGAATTGCTTGAACCCGGGAGGCGGAGGTGGCAGTGAGCTGAGATCACGCCACTGCACTCCAGCCTGTGCGACACAGCAAGACTCTATCTCTGAAAAAATAGATAAAATAAAATAAAATAAAATACCTAAAAATACGATGTGAACTAGCTTAGGCAAAATAGGACAGGCTCCTGGCTGAAGGGTAGTTACAGCCTGTGGGACAGATGAGGGAGACACCGGCTTGAGGGGGAATTATTAATAGCTCTGTCTCTGAACATTGCTGGGCACCTCTTGTTTTACCTCAGAATGGCTTTCTTTATAGGACTGGTACTTTGGTTGTTTCACTTCCCAGCTTACATTTGACCAAATTTGCTATCAGTCTGGAAAAAGGACTCTTCCTCTAATATAAAGCTTAGAAAATAAATCCCAGTGAAGAACTGGGATGCTTATGACTTCAGTCAAACACAGCCTCTGGAGCAATTCCTGAGTGGGAAGTGAGTACCCACCCTTCTTACCAACAGTATGTCGGAGAGGAGAGCCATGTTGAGCACCTATGCAAGTAGATGGTTAAGGGGGTGACTGAGAAAGGGAGGGGCTGTGGGCTGGCAGATATATTACTGTCTATTCCACTTAATCATCTCCTGGCTTGAATGAATTGAGTAATTCAATTTGTTCTACAATTGGATCCATATTATGCAATATAGTATGCCATTTTCCTCCTGTTTTTAACAAGGAGAAACAATCTGAAATACAGGTGATATTTTTCTTTGTGAACACCTATAAGCAGTGAGGTTTTTAAGCTCACTAAGAATATACACATATTATACATATATATTATTCATGTAACAAAATAAAATATAAAGTATAATTATATATAATATGTATTATATATTAAATATATAAAAGTCATATATAAGCCATATGTTACTATAAATATTATATATTATGTATTAATATATAAATTAATATAAATATTGATATAATGTATCTATAATATATATAATTGTCCAGGATTGGAAGGGGGATCCTTTCTATTAGCAATCTGTGGGTGTGTCATTGATACACAATAACACAAAAAGGCACTTAAGAAACTTCCTTATTTTCTGTCATTTGGGTATGTCTAACTTATTTTCAAGTAGCTGTGTTTCACATTAAGCACCAACATATTTTTGTTTTAAGACTTTGTGTTAACCACTAGTTTGACATGAATTTCTCAGCTACTGTCCCTCTGGGGGTTTCTGCAGATTATTTAGTATACTGCTTCTTATTTGAGTATGTGATATAAGAAAATCAGACAAAATGGCATATCATGTGCTGCTAGCGAGGGTTATGGGCTAATAGTTGGGGAGGGAGTGCAGGTTGGAAAGAAAGAAGGTGGTACCAAATATCAGATAAATACTTACAATGCTGAGTCACTGGGAAGTAATCTAAAGAGTAGATTGCGGGATGTGGGCTTTCCAGGGTTTGGTGGATTTTGTTTAATATTACCAAAAGGTTGATTGAAGATTTTGTATGTGAGGGAAGTATTCCAATCAAACCATAAATATATTAAAGAAGGCTTTGCCTGAGTATTACAGGAATCTTGCGTAGAAGTATTACGAGTATTGGGCTTGCTGGCTGTTTAACAATGGAGAATGCCAGGTAACTCACAGGTAGGGCATGAAGTACTCATGAGCTAGATGTTGTTATTTACTCTCTGATCTCTAGGAAAGGGTGATCTATTTGAGAAACAGCTAGACAAATATTCAGCTATTCCAGAGAACAGTGTGACCCCATAGAAGCACCTTTAAGTAAATAATTCTAGGCTGGAGCTTTGGCAAAACCATACTTCTGACCCATAGAAATAAATCGGTTTTGGATGATCCTTTGTCTAAGAAGGCTAGAAATCTAATGTTGACATGTCCATAATTTAAACTTCTTTGTCTTTGAAATAATAATAACTCTTTTGCAGAAATACCCATTGGGAGCTGGCAACTTTATCATGTAACATTGAAAGTGACCAAGAAGTTTAGAGTGGTGTTTGAAGGACGCAAAGGCTCTGGCACATCACTGGGTGGTCTGTCTATTGATGACATCAATCTTTCGGAAACACGGTGCCCTCATCATATCTGGCATATAAGGAATTTCACACAGTTCATTGGCAGCCCAAATGGAACTTTGTATAGCCCTCCATTTTACTCTTCTAAAGGTTATGCCTTTCAGATTTACTTAAATCTAGCCCATGTGACTAATGCAGGGATATATTTCCACTTGATCTCTGGAGCCAATGATGATCAATTACAGTGGCCATGTCCTTGGCAACAAGCCACAATGACACTTTTGGATCAAAATCCTGACATTCGACAGCGTATGTCCAATCAGCGGAGTATAACTACGGACCCATTTATGACCACCGGTTCGTAACTCATTTTCTTTATTGCTAATAAACAATCATTGCTCTAGGAGGGATGGATAATTTTGGGAATGAGAGATTGCACAGTTAGTTACCTAGGGAAATTTGAGTCCCAAATCTTAAGAACAGATATTTAGGAGAAAGGTTTCAAGAATTGTGGACAGAGTCTTTCAGGCAGGAGCTCATCAGAAATGTCAGCAAGGACTCCAACAAATAAAGAAGATACTGACTGTATTCCTGGGAACTGATGGCCCTTCTCAGATTTCCACTTCTGTGCAAGAGGTGTTGGTTTTAGAGTCTGACATGCCTGAGTTCAAGTCCAAGGTTTGCTTCTCATTAGCTATGTGACCTTGAGCAAATAATCTCTTAGGGCCCCAGTGTCCTCAACTGTAAAGCCAGGGCTGTAGTAACCATTCCACAGATTTGCTATGAGAATTAGTACAGGTCAAGTGTGGAAGCTGTGGAAAGGCCTGCAGTGGAGAGGCCCTCAGATGTTGGGTTTTTCTAACTCATGCTACCTTGTTCACGTCACTGGGAATGTCAAAAATAATTCAGCGTTGGAAATGGGGGTAGTTTTTGACCAGAAGGAAGGTATTGAGCAGGTGCATTCAAGTGTTGGTGGGAAGGGTGTGAGAATACATTATAATTTCTTAGTAAAAAGTTACAGAGGATTTGCTAATCGTGACATCATTCCCCATCTTTCCCATCTCAAAAAGAAGTAACCCACTGAAAGCAATGATCACACTTCTAATTTTAATAACTCTTTGCTTCTGAGACCCTCAGAAAGGAAAACAATGAAATTATGGCAAGCTGAATATTTTTGCCAAATATGAATTCTGTATATGAAAAACATGGACCAAATTGGCATAGAAAAAATCCAACTTAATCTCCTAGGAAAACAATAATATTCACCAATGGAATTGTAGGGACTTGACATTCAGAATTTTTTCACTTTTTCTTAAAGTGTTTCTTCCTGAATGACATTAAAAGCAGCTCAGGGCTGGGTAGGTCATTATCTTTCCCCAGAAGCAGTACTTCTTCTTGTCTTCTACTTCTGAAGCACTTTGCTTGTTAGGTGGATAATTCAGTTAATAAGATAAATCATTCTATGCTGATATTAAAAACTCTCTCAGCAATATATTGCTTTAACTGGACAAACTGTAACTTTGTAAAAGGACTCTCTTAGTAGCCTTAGGCTACTAAGAAATTATTCTAATAGATAGGAGGGTTTCTATACCGTTCAATAAGTAGAGATATGATATTCCCAGGAATATCTGGCACCTAGGAAACTTCTGGTACCTCTCCACTCTTATTCTACAGTGTGGTCCTCCCTGCCAGGTAATTTCATTTCCTCTAGGACAGTATAAATGAACAAGCCCCAGCGATTTGCCAGGGAATACATCACAGGCCAATAGCATCATTTAATTATTTTGAGCTCCAGCCTAATTGTGTTTCACATTGCCTGTTCTTTCCTACCACCAAAAGCTACGATGATGATAAACACACTCCATTAATATAAATTGCTTTTTCAGGTAATGGAAGCTATTTTTGGGACAGGCCTTCCAAAGTGGGAGCAGTGGCTGTTTTCCCTAATGGAACTCAGTTTAGAAGAGGTGGTGGCTATGGCACCAGTGCCTTTATAACCCATGAGAGGCTGAAAAGCAGAGATTTTATAAAAGGAGATGATGTTTATATCCTACTGACAGTGGAAGGTATGTCAATAAAAATAGTTTTATATAAGCTAGTTTTTTGTTGTGGCCACTGATTATCTTCTGTTTATTTCTGCATTCCATTTTTAGGTGTATTATGTAGAGATGTGGGGGGAAATGGGCATGAGTGGGGTGTGAGGGGAACATGAATTATTGACAACATGAAAATAATTTAATTTGAAACAGTAAGGACTCCAGAATAAAGAATTTAATGACTACCACATGAAGCTATAGTGGAAATCTTTAGGTTGGGAAACTTCTTTAGAAATAAATTAAAATAGAACAATTATACTCTAGGATTCCCGAAATAAAAATATCACATCAGCACATGAAATGACTGGAAACGGCTGTGTCTTATCTGTTTCAAATGTACATACATGCATACATATATACATACACACACACACACACACATATATATATATTGGCAGAAATGATATTAATCTCTTGTTAGATTAATGTTAAATTTCTTACTCCTGCAGCCAATAAATACATTTTGCAGCAATTCTGGTGGTTTTCATTTTTTATGCGGTAGGATTTTAACTCATTTTCTATTAAAGACCCACTTGGGTCTCAGTAAATCAGATTGTTGTTTGTGATGAAAGGTGGTGCAATTAAAACCCACAAAAATTTGACTCCAGTGTCCATTAGAGTAAATCTAGATGATACCTCTTGGAGAAATTATTCAGAAATAACTTTTGTTAAGAGAGAAAACATTTTATGTAGCAGAGAAAAAAAATCAGATATGCATCAGTTCTCTTTGACCATAGCGATTTCAACCAGAAGCAATAATATGCTGCAGAGAGCATAACACTATTTGTCAGGGCACTTGGTGTCTTTCTCCAAGTCTCCACCAACTTGCTCTACCAAGCCAGAGACCTCTGACCTTGGGCAATGCCCTCAATTACTTTACATTTCTGAGTTTTGGTTTCCTTATCTGTCTCTTGAAAGTTGGCATCAGGGGCTTGTACCCTTCTGGGCTCCCACAATCCAGGCCAGCATGTGGTTGAGTTGGAGCCCCAGCAGGCTGGCCTAGTTTCCCTTTGCCTAGTTCTTATCTCGCTGCCTATATCAATGTTGCTAGACTGTGCTTCAAGGTTACCTGAATTTCTCATAAGCCTAAAATCTGATCATTGTCTATTTTGAAACTTAAGATTGGGCTTGGCATGATGGCTCACACCTACAATCCCAGGACTCTGAGGCTGAAGTGGAAAGAATGTCTGAGCCCGGGAGCAAAGACCAGCCTGGGCAACATTACAAGGTCCCACCTCTTAAAAAAAAAAAAAAAAGAAAGAAAGAAAGAAAAAAAAGGAAAAAAGAGACATTAAAAGAAAAAGAAACTTAAAGATCAAATGATTGTTAAACAAAAGCTGATTTCCATCCACACTCTTCCCCATCTTCCTAGACATATCTCACCTCAACTCTACGCAAATCCAGGCAACACCAACCCCTAGTGTCCAAGAACTCTGCTCAGAAACCACCTGTGAAAATGATGGTGTCTGCACTGTTCGAGATGGCAAAGCTGAGTGCAGGTAAGGATCATTTGGAAGAGATCTCTCCATTCTTTGGTTAGAAATTTTATTCCCATAATGTAGGATTAAATACTTGATAGTTCTTATGAATGAAATCAGTTGATTCCCATCTCACAGTCATTCATAGAATTTTTTGTGTTGTTGTCCTCCTTTTGGGGCTTTGGATAACCACAAAAACTATCTTTGTGATAGCCAACACAATTTTTTATGAAAAAAATATTACAGTATATTCTAGTTGTCTGAAAAGTCCTCACAACAGTCCAGTCATTTTAAGTGTAGCTGCCTCCATTTCCTAGATGAAGATACTGACGTTCTGAGGAGCCCTTGGCCAAGATGTGAAGCTGGAGGGTGGTGGGCATGGGACACTGAGAACTAAACTTTCTCTATTACCTGTGCTAACAGCCTTTCCTAACTTGCAGATGCTGTTTTAGTATCAGATTAGGAGGAATTCCATTTTTTCTTTCCATTGCTTACACCTGTGCTCTAGGTGCTTGTCTCTCTCCAGTCCAGAGTGGGTAAAATAGTTCCATACAGCAGTGACCTATTGGTGATCAAATAGACTAAAGGTGATCCACATCTTTAACTGTGAAGATTTCTGGAGTTACATATCAGCTCATAACTCTGAGTCACACTCTCAATGTGCAGGTGCCGGTCAGGGGAAGACTGGTGGTACATGGGAGAAAGGTGTGAAAAGAGAGGCTCTACCCGAGACACCATCGTCATTGCCGTTTCCTCTACTGTCGCTGTGTTCGCCTTGATGCTCATCATCACTCTTGTCAGTGTCTATTGCACCAGGAAGAAATATCGTGAAAGGATGAGCTCAAATGGACCAAATTTGACTCTGCAAAATGTAAGTTGAGGCTGATGTTTGATTATTCACAACCTATTGGTGAAATCTTATGGAGAGGAACTAGGACATTTTTGACATACTTTGGTTCTTGCCTTCTTCTCTTTGTTTCCTATGCTGGGACAACTGATTTCAGACTATAAAAGTTCCTATTACTTTCACTGTAAATCAACAATTCTTAAATTGGGATTTATGGAGGTTCATTATCCTCCTGGAATTGTATACAACATTGTGTACAGTTGTGTGTAGGGTTTTTTTCCTGGAGTGTGGTGTGGTCTGTGACCTGAAAGGCACAATTGATTTTGCCTGCAAGTTCAAACCTTCCTGGTAAAGTGGAGAGGTGGCCTGCAAGTGTTTTTGTTCTAAAGGCTTTAGAGTGGTGCTGAGCTGAGGCCCGTAGGAGGGGGATGCAGGCATGTTTGGGGAAGCTTTTGCATTAAAGAAGGTTCCGGTTCATTCTGGCTTCACGTGGAATAACTAATTCTAAGGCAGGTTTTCAAGTAAAGGATTTAGTCTTCCCTCAAAAAATCTCTAAAATGTGAATAGACTCCTGAAACGACCCTGTTTCCAGTGGGTCCCTTGGGAAGCTGACTCTGAGATGGATATTTGTACACAGGAGGTTGATTGGGGAGGGCTCCTGGAACACATATAATAGGCCGAGGGAGCTGGCCTGGGCAGAGGGTGAGGTTAGACTGTGATGTGGTTGCAGCTGAGGCCTTAGCCCATCCTCCAGGGAGCTCTGGAGTGGGGATGATTCCTTCTTAGGCACATCCTGAATCAAGGGAGGGGGGCCAGGCCTTTGTACTCCCATCGCTGGAATGGGGCTGCCCCCAAAGAGGGGCATAAAATTGGACAAGGCAACGGCCTTTTGGGGAGGGCATTTCTTGCATGACAGCCTTCATTCAAAGGACAGGACCAAGCAGCAGTGCCCTAGCATCCACTACATACTCCAGCAGTAGAGCACAGAGTTTTACGTGCCGATTCATATTCTTCCTCGCAAAGGAGCACAGAGAAAGTGGCATGAAATCTGAACATTACCTAAAAATGAAGCCCTAAAATTCTTCCAGTTCTAGTTCATTCCAATTGGAGTCTCTGAAAATTGCTACTGAAGCCAGTCAGAAAACATGCCCAATTAGAATATCTCCAAAAATAAAAATACCGCAATTGGCTAAAGCACAAGTACATTTTCTTAAGAAAAACGATTATTCAAGACATACTATATTTAAAGTTTTGAGTTTTTAAAGGGGACAGACGGGTATCAAGATATTATTATTTATATCAAGATATAAAATAATAAAAACATGTTTGACCAGTCAGTCAAAACCTGGACAATGATAATGAACTGAAAGGAAATCGTTGTATTATCGTAGGCTGTTGTCCTATTTCCTCAACATCAGGAAGATGTTTAATGCTAATAATATGGCAATAGATCAATTACCTCACAAAACTATTACAAAAGTGCTTAAAATATAAACAGATTGTTTTGTTTTAAGACAACTTTCAGCTTATTTTATGACTCAAAATAAAAGGGAAAAATCAGCGAATACTTGGTCTGGTATGTCAACCTGATGGCAGCTGTGCCTGCAAGTTCGGTCTCCTGGGCCATTGGGATGAGCCAGAAGTTGGTGCATGGAAGGTGGAACAGTGGCAGGGCAGGAGGGGACAAGTTAACTGGGTGGATGGGATTGCCAGGATATTTCCTTGACAATGGGAAGTGTAACAGCTGTTATAAGGACTCTAACTTAGCAAGTAAAAATTGGAAGGAGTTAAAGAAAAGTGACAAAACCAAAGAGAAGAGACAGAAGGAAACTAAGTCAATAAAGTGGGGAAGCCATGAGAGTATCAGGGACATGGTAAGGATAGTAAGTGGAAACACACACATGCACACACACACACTCCATAATATTACAACAGAAGTATTTTGTGTCTGGGTCATTTAAACACATTCCCAAGGACAAGGCAGTTGACTTGCATTATCTTAGGCTAGGCATTTCTACAGTTCATTCACTGATAACAGATCTCACAGATGTTGTTTAGATCTTAAATCAGAATGACCTTTTTTTCTGAGGCAAATGTATGTGTTCACCATAATGTTTTAGCATCTGAATAATGTGGGCTCAAAAAGCCAGGGCTCTAAATGGAGACCAGGAGCAGGAGCCATTGCCAGCTAGGAGGGAGGCCAGGAGACTACTGATGGGGACTTCATTTAAAGACTAGATCCTTTTCTTGTGATTCATTTAAATAACAGTTTTTAAATGTAGAAATTAAATCATCAATTGTTCTTTCCTCTTTTAGCAGCATGCTTTCTGAAGATTAACTCGACAATACGGCCAGCAAATGAAATTAAAAAGGATTCTTCGTCATGGATTCGCCTAAGAGATATTACAACCGCCTCATTCTTCTAAAAATGGATCTTTTTCTGTAAATAGCTGGAAATACTATAAATCACTATTTTGGTCAAAGTCAATTTGGTGAAATACTGTTTGTGTTTCCTTCTTTTAAATGAGAGAAAAGCAATTCAGGCTCTTCTGAAAGTATAATATTGTCTAGAAAAAAGGGAGAGCAACAGTTAGAGATTACTTTTCAAATTACTGATCCTTCCATATGGGGGCCACGTGTGGTGTCCTCACAAGTGATTCCTTAGAAACCCACTAGAAACACCCAGTGGGAATGATCCTCCATGCGGAATTGCAGCAGTTTCAGTGCCATCCTTTCCCAGCATTGGGAAGGGTAATGGGATAGCTCCCCACTCTCTGTTAATATACATTCTTCTCCACAACCGGCTACTCTCTTGTTTTCTTATATAGTCCCTATGGTACATGAGCTTGGTTTAGAATTTGATTGAGCAAATGACTATAATCAGCAAGAAAACCTTTCACTCTTTGAGTGGCAAGTCTCAAAGTTTTTGGGTCTCAGGAGTCTTTACATTTTAAAAATTACTGAAGATCTCAAATAGATTACTGAGGATCTCAAATAGATTACTCAGGAATCTTCACATTTTAAAAATTACTGAGGATCTCAAATAGATTACTCAGGAATCTTCACATTTTAAAAATTACTGAGGATCTCAAATAGATTATTCAGGAATCTTCACATTTTAAAAATTACTGAGGATCTCAAACAGATTACTGAGGATCTCAAATAGATTATTGAGGAATCTTCATATTTTAAAAATTACTGAGGATCTCAAATAGATTACCGAGGATCTATTTTGCTTACAAGCAGCTCATTGATTTAAATAAGTGTTTATTAGAAATTCAAACCAGGAAAAATTTAATGTATTTATTAATCACAAAAAATAAGCCCCTTCTATACTAACATAAATATTTTTATGAAAAATAGCTGTATTTTTCAAAACACGAGAATATTTAGCAAAGAGAGGGGCATTGGTTTACATTTTCTGGGAAAATCTCTAATGCCTAGCTCAATAGAAGACAGCTGAGTTTTCACAGATGCTTCTGCATTTATTCTGTTGTGATATATTAATTTGTTTGAAGGATGTGAAGAAAATCTAACCTCACACAAATATGTTCTTGGAAAAGGAAGGCATATTTGAATAGCTTTCTCAGGTAAATATGAATATTCTTTTGAAATAATTTTGTTAAAAGTTGACAATGGTAACTTCTTAAAGGTTAGTTGCAATCAAAATCCGAAACCATATCAATGAACTTTTGTATTCTGTCCTGTAAAATCCATTAGTCTATCTTGTATTTTGAGTCTTTCAGCTATGTCTGATTTTGCAATACTGTGCATTGATAATTTAGAAAATATTGGTTCACTGAGTTATACAGCTCTTACAACATTTGACATATTTCATTATACGGTATGAAAACAACATTAGTTAATTGCACTACTGATCTCATTTTAAAGTCTTTCATGCTTGTAGCCCCAGCATTTGGGAGGCCGAGGCAGGTGGATCACTTTAGTCCTGGAGTTCGAGACCAGCCTGGACAACACAGGGAGACTGTCTCTCTCTATATAAAAAAATTATCTGGGCATGTTGGCACGTGCTTGTGGTCCCAGCTACTTGGGAGGCTGAGGTATGAGGATTGCTTGGACCCAGAAGGTCAGGCTGCAGTGAGCTGTGATTGCACCACTGTACTCCAGCCTGGTGGACAGAGTAAGACTCCATGTCAAAATAAATAAGTAAAAACATAACTAAAAACCCCCAAATTAAA